ATATTGGGTTATATTAGAATTAATTATTATATTATTAAAATAATTTATATTATATAAATTAAATAAAAAAAAAATTATAAATAAAATAAATTATATAAATTAAATTATTATCGGGTATTGGAGATAAAAAACAAAAATAAAATAAAAATCATTTTGTATCTTGTATTTTAGTTCTCCATTACGGTTATACCATATAAATTTGATTTATATCCTTTTCTATCAAACAACTTTAGTACGAACATTTATTATTTCATTGCTTTCGATATCTCATGCGAGATATATACTAAAATATCACATATTCTCTATCGTTCGTGTTTTAAATGTAACATCCTATACATATATATATATATAGTATATTATAATGTATGCATATTTTATAATACAAATTTATGATATTTTTTGAACGAATATAAAAGAAAACGATCCTTTAAAAAGGATGTATACATAATTTTTGTTTACATTCTTTTTTCTTTTTTTTTTTTTAAATCTTTTTGCTGTTGGTTAAAATCGAATAAAAAAAAAAAAAAAAGAAGAAGAAAAGAGAGAGAGAGAAAAATAATCGAGAATTCTCGTAGTTTAGAGAGAACGATTAAGAGAAAAATGGCGTCCAGCAATGGGAACTAGGTGTGACCGGTGTTTTAAGAGGGTTGCTCTCAAAGAAGAGAAGATTCAACGCTAGAGCCACGGTGGAAGCTTAATTGTTCTCTTTCACGTTGGTCCACCCTTCTTCTTCTAACCTTTTTTTTGTTCTTTTTTCTTTTTCTTTTTTTCTTTCTCTCCTCCTCCTCTTCTTTTTCTCCCCCTTTCTCACCGAAGTTCCGCCGTTAAAAGCTCAAGTTTTTGCCTATCTTTTCCTCTCTTTCTCTTTTCTCTTTTCTTTTTCTTTTTCTTTTTTTCTATCTGTTTTTGCTTACACCCGTAACCATCGAAAGGTAGAGTAGAATATCCTCTCTTCTAAACGTGAAGTTTTCTTCCAGCTATCACATTTTCTACTTTGGTGCTGTACGACGAATGGAATGTTAAGCAATTTGTCGAAATGATCTAACTGTTCGAAAAGGTTCGATGAGAAGAACAAAAAAATAATCAACGCGTGAAATCGATCACAAATAAAAAAAAACAAAACTTGCGATCTCTTTTACCATTTTTTTCTTTTTCTTTTCTATTCTATTCTAACCCTTTCTTTTCTAATCGTCATCGTTTTCCTTCTCTCTCTTAACACTTTACCGAGTTTCAACAGCATATGCACGTCTGACCGAAAGTTCAGCAGCAGATTCTACTAAAAAATTTTAATAGGATGCTAAATAAGATTCTAAAAACAAATAACTGTTCATGTAATGATACATACACTCTTTAACGCAATGTCAACCGATAATTAAAAGCTGATTAATAAATTTTTGTTCGGTAAGCATTGCTGACAAAAAAGCCTATTTATAGGCTAGCGGTCGTTTAAATGTTAAATTCTTATTCTTATTTTTTTTTTTTTACAAATAAAATCAACTACGTCTTTTTTCTTTTCGTTGTATTTTTTTTATTTCGATTTACTTTGTTCCGAACCGAGTTTTTTTTTTGTTCACGTAAAATCAACGATCGCGAATCGATGTTTGATCGTGAGACTTTTGGGTTGATATCGTATCTCAATCTCGGTACAAAAAGTAGTAGTAGTAGTAGTAGTAGTAGTATATGAAACAACGAGCCGACGTGATTTGATCAGCAAACCGCAAAGAGAAATCCACTTTGTATCGATGGAACAAAAAAAAAACAACTATCCTCCCCGTTAGTTTTCTACCCTAGTAACGAAAACGAAAACAAAGAAGAATAGCAAAAAAAAAAGAGAAGGCATGGGAAAAGAACGTCGGTGCTTTTAGTGTACACGTATGGTGATTTTTATTTTCTATGGTAGGATCACAAAAGTCATGGGTATTGTATAAAATATTTTGTATGTAAATTGTGATTGAATGAAGATTGTTTAAACATCATTCTAAACAATATATCCGAACAATTACAATATTGGTTATTACTCGTTTATATACGTAAATATATATTCTTGGTAAGTATACTTAGGGTTATATTTACATACGTATGTATTATATGTATATATACATAGTATATATATTTGATGCAGATTTATATATGAGAAAATCAGTAAGAAGGCAAACGAGAAACTGCTTAAAACTTTCATATTGTTGGATGTTCCGATTGTACCTACGCACAGAATTCTACCAAGTTACTCTCGATCCTCTGGGTAATTAGTAGTCTAGATACGCCTGTTTGACCTCACCAACTAGACCAATTTAGGGTTACTTAGACAAGTAATTCCGCGAGAGTTCTGAGTAGAAAGCGGATAAGGAGAAAGAGAAAGAGAGAGAGAGAGAGAGACTCGAGTAGAAACGCTAACTATCTAGCAAACGTTTGAAAGTGTACCCTGTAAATATAATTTGTACATATTACATACGTTCCCTCTTCTCCTATGTAATATTACGATCTATGACCATTTTCAAAATCTACCTACTATATTTATATATATGTACATATATGTATATCTGACTTCGTGCTTACGGTTGGATTAATTCTCGATACATGATTTAAATCTTTTTGAAATTTAGTTTGTTGGAATTTTCGATCCGAATAAATATATATATATATAAAAAAAAATAAAATAGCTTTTCTGTCGGAAGCGACATCGGAAAAACCGATTTGTCGAACGAAAAAGCGAATAAATGATCTACTTTGATAAAAGAAAAAAAAATGAAATAGAATAAGAGAAAGAGAATAAAGAAATAATGTGATTTCAATAATAATAAAATGGTACTTTGATTTAACCATTTTCGTTTAGGTACAAACCTTAACACATAAAATAAACCTAACTTGTCAAATCATGTAGAATCGACTATAACGAACGGTTCGTTAAGATCAAATGACACGGTCGGTTAAATTCGTCTTATTCCAGAAGAAGCAAATACACCCATAGGGATTGGTCGTTGGATTGTAAAAGACAAGAGTAATAGCTTAGGAATTTGAAGAGAAATATATGTCGTGGTGGTGGTGATGATGATGATGATGGTGCATTGTCGTTTTACTCGAATGATGGTTAGCGGAATCATGTGTACGGCATCATTCTACTCGTTTCTTCTCTTTCGTACTTCCTTTTCTATTTCTTGAACATCAAGTTCATATATGTAGCTGAGAAACGGAAGTAAAAAGTCAATGTAATATGGCGCTTGAAAAGAGAAAGAAAGAAAAAGAATGAGTGAGAAGAAAGAAATAAAATGCCTAACTAGATGACGTCACGTCAAATGGGAAAAGAATCAGCAAGAAGGAGCAACGGCCCACGAAATCTTATGTTAGACTACATTGAGGGAAAAATAAAGAAAGAAAATAAAAGTCAAGATGATGGTTGGGAAGTTAGGCTTGGTTTGGTTGTATATACATTCGCCATAGTACGACGATGACGACGATACAGGCGTAGAACGAGAGAAAGAGAAGGAAAAGGTCGTGTGTAGGAAGGGGGAGTGGTGGTGACGTCACACTTACACGGCCGCAGCCGAGAGACGGAATGATAGTGAAAGACAGTGGGAGAAAGAGTGGGGAGTGAGAGAGACTTTAGTCAGCAACGAGGCTCACCGAGCAGCGACGGAAGGGGCCGAATAGCTCGATGGATAGTGCGATGCCGAGTGGCTGCGGAGTGGCGCGGAGAGGGGGCACTTGGAGCACGCCGAAGACTCGTTTGGTGGGCGCCGGGTGGGGGTTGACGGGGGTCCAGGCATGGAGAGGGCGCAGTTCCGCGCTATCCTCCGTATCGTTGACACGTCTGACTAGAAAGAGAGTGCCGCGTTGCCCGACTGTTCCTCGAGTACTCCTCCATACCTTTTTTCCTCTTCTACTTCTTATTATTATTCTTATTCTTATTCTTCCTGTCATTAATATTCTCTTTTTCCTCGTACCTAAAATATTTTCTATCCTTTTTATCCTACTTGATCCATTTTGGGATTCGTAAATCGTACGCGGACGCGCAACGTTAAAACTTTGTCGATCGTTGAACGCGCATTTTTTCAAACGACGTACCAACGTTTCAAAACTAAATAATCAAAGTGAGTAAAAGAAAGAAACGCGGATCTACGTAAACGTAAGGAGGAAGAATCGTTTTGATTTTTCTCCCCCCTGTCAAAAGGGATTTATCATTTCTTTTTTCCTTTTTATTTTCACATACCTTTTACATCTATACACTTTCCCTTTCCGTCCTTTTTTTTTTTATTTTGGTTCCGATAAAATCAATCAATCGATCGTTCGTTCATTCGTTCGATCGATCGATCGATCTCGCGAGTGAGTTTTTGATTTTTTTTTAACTACGTTGGTGTTTCTCAAAACTTTGTTTTGTGTTGAAATAAAAAGAAAAAAAGAAAGAAAAGAGATAGAAAGTGTTTTCTTCTTGAAAGAAATAATAGTGACTTTGACGCTTGGACTATCGCCATTTTTCACGAGTAACGTGTGTGAGAAGATACAAGACAAAGATGATGGCCGTTTCTTCTTCTTCTTCTTCTTATTCTTCTTCTTCCTCCTCTTCTTCTTCGTTCTTCTTCGTGTTCACTGTCTTGGTCGTTGGGCTCGTGTTCAGCGATGGGACCACGGGTACCATGGCAAACCAGATGACGTTGGAAGCCAGGATCTACGACGACCCCGAACTATCACAGGTTAGTGCCCTCATAATTTGCTTTTTTTCTTTTTATTTCTTTGTTTTGGCCCCTTTTCATTAATCCCTTTTATATATAAATTTTTGAAAAATATCAACACGATTATTAATCGATGTTTTTCATCGATTTAAATCCGTTTATTTTTCCCATCATTTTTCTTTTCTTTTCTTTTATTTTGTTTCATTCAAAAATTGTGACGAAAAGTATTTTCAATCAGAAGAAAAGATCTTATTTGATTTTTTTATTATATTTGCAAAATCCACTTTCGAAGTTTATTATAACTTTTACTTATTTAGTATGAAACACAGTGCAAATTTTGACGATATATACGATCCAGGTTCAAGGACACATAGCGTGTTTTGTATGCCCTTTTCGCAAATGTTCTCTCAAGTCGTTTTTAAAGGTAGAAAACGGAAAGGAAGGATCCGTACTTCTCATTTTTCTCCCGCTTCTTCAAGAATTCCAGAACAAATCCGAACAGCAGACGTGAGCGTCAGAAAGAGAGAGAGAGAGAGAGAGAGAGAGAGAGAGAGAGAGAGAGAGAGAGAGAGGAGAAAACGGAGAATTCATAAAAGGCGCGTAACGAGACAAAGAAGCCACTAATGGCGGCATTTTTAAACTCGTCGTGTTCTCTATCACTCCGTTAGGATTCTTTTTCTCGTTGACTTTTAACTTCCGTNGTAGAAAACGGAAAGGAAGGATCCGTACTTCTCATTTTTCTCCCGCTTCTTCAAGAATTCCAGAACAAATCCGAACAGCAGACGTGAGCGTCAGAGAGAGAGAGAGAGAGAGAGAGAGAGAGAGAGAGAGAGAGAGAGAGAGAGAGAGAACTAGAAAGACAAAGTGAGACAGAGATAGACAGAGACAAAGAAGCCACTAATGGCGGCATTTTTAAACTCGTCGTGTTCTCTATCACTCCGTTAGGATTCTTTTTCTCGTTGACTTTTAACTTCCGTTGAGTTGTTTCAAGAAAAAGACAAAAAAGAAAATAAAAAGAAAACATTCAACCATTATTTCGTCGAGTAAAAATATAAAGGAACAGTTTGTCAATATTCTTTACAGATAAAATAAAAAAATAAGAAAAAATTAAATAGGTAAGGTAGTAATAAATAATAAAAAAAAAAAAACACCATTAAATTGTAGTTCGTTCATTCGTTCGTTCGACTTTGAGAATTTCGTAGAATTCGTTTGACTACTTTTTTCCCGATCTTTTTTTTTTCTTCCCCCTCGAAGAAATGTGTCGTCTGTCGCAGCAGAGATGCATACCACACATATATATATATATATATATGGTATATATATACTATATATGCATATACATAAGTTCGTTATGTCCACCACGCCCACGCAGTTACTTTTCCTTTTTCTTTCATACTTGCCGTTTGGTTTAGTTTCCTTGAAAAATGATACGGATTCCGTTACACACACATTTTTCTATCGTAAAAAGATTAATGTCGCCAATGAAGTATCGACTACGAATTATTTTTTTTTTCTTTTCCATTTTTACTAGCGTTCCTTCTATTTTAACCTCCGCCCCACATCCGATTCTTTCTTTAATTTAATTCTTTTAAAAATTGTTTTTCTTTTCTTCATATATTATTTATTTTTCTCATATGTAATACGAAAGTGTGTATTCACGATGATTGATCGAGCTTGGTTTTTTTCTTTTTGATTTTTTCCTTTCGTCAAAAGATCAAAGAAATATTTTGGTGTGTCGCAGTTCGAACACGAACGAAAGATTCGATGCATTTGACAAAAATTCATATTTCCTATCGACACCCCTATGTATTCCATTTTTTCGATTCCATTTTTGCTTTTTTCACGTGTTTTTTCCTTTTTGACTTTTTTTATTTATTTATATCTGTTGTCTTTTTCTTTTATTATTGTTATTTTTTTCGTTAGTAGTAGGTAGTAGTATAGGGTTGAAACAATACATTCACGCAAATGCATCGAACTATGAACGATTGCGTGTCGTTTCAAAGAATGAAATGTCGAATGGTGGTTGGTTGTTTGGTTGGTTGTGTTCATGGTGTGAAATTCTTTATAATTCTTTCTTTATTCTTTTCTTCTTTCCTTCCTTCCCTTTTTTTTTTTGATGTATAACCTTGTATTATTGTATCTATTTTATTATTTATTTATATTTTTTATTTAACTCGCATATTTATATGCACGCATGTTTATACCCCATAAGCGGAAATTGAAAAACGTCTCTGGTTATTATTTAGCTTGAAAATCGTTTCGTTCAAATCGTTCGGTCTCGTCGGAACGTTTTGTGCAGTTTAACACTCATAAAGTTCAATTTATGAAGTGCGTATATGTGTTCTCGTACACACGAATATCGTCGAAACTCAAAGCAACCCCTTTTATCATACATGTGTGCGTGTATCTTTCTGTCTATGTATATACATATGCATATATACACGCGTGTGTGTAGTAAATATGATATTATAACGCATTCCAACTTTTGTTCAAATTTCTTTGGATCATTTTTTCCCCCCCCTGTATAGTTTTTTTTTCTTTCTTTTCCCTAATTAAATATATTATTTATTTTTGTCTCGTAAAACGTTAAAGTCGTCATAGTAGTCATCGTAGATGACGGATGCGGGTAGACATAAAACAACATACATTTTTCCTTTTTTTCTCTAACCAAAAATGTTGGGGAGGAGGAGGAGGAAAGGGTAGGGTGGGGTGGGTAAGGGGATGATGGGTTGGAAGGAAATTTTAGTAGGGGTATTTTTGGGTCAGTATGTCGGCGCATTGCGGTACCAACTTCATCGTGCATCTTCGTATATACATTTCCGAAGGACGATTGCTACGGAATCTGATATCGACTGGTTTCTTTTTTATTTTATATTTTTTTTTTCATTTAAAATTATTTCGTTTTGTTTCGTTCCTTTTAATGTTGTTGTTTAATGATGTTTTGTTTTGTTTTGTTTTTGTTTTTTAAATTTATTCGTATTTATAAATATTTGATGAAAAATTTATCGTTATTAATAATATTTTTTTGTACTTTATTAAATTACTTATTTGTATAAATTTTTTATTATAAATATTATTTTTACACATTGTTTATTATAAATATTACTTCCACACTCTCACTATAAATTAATAATCAGAATTTAACAAAACAATAACCTTTGATTATTTTCATAACCTTTGTAAAAGATTTGATTTTCATTTTATATTAATTTAAAATAGAAAAACAAGATCCTAAAAAATAAACGTCTATAATGTCAATGTCAAAATGTGTTACATGTACAATTTAGGTCAACGTCAATGGAATTTAATCATCGATCCTGTGCCCGAATGTTCCAATACATTTTATGTAACAATTTTGAGAAATGTGAAATAAAAAAAAGAAAGGATCTCAATTTTACGGATAATTTGTTTGCTAAAGAGAAATGGCGAAAGGTGGTGAGGGGTGAGTTCAAGATAAGATATAAAAGTTGAGATGGGGGATGTTTTGGGGTGGGGGATTGTCGTTTATCGCAGATGAGGATTATTCCTTTTAGCATCAAAAAAGGGGATGATCTTTTTTCTCGGTTAAAAGGCAAACTTTTATAATGTACTTGTCTAAGCGATCAAAAGGAAGGACAACAAGGGATGAGAAAACAGGAAAGAAGAAGAAGAAGAAGGAGAAGAAGAAGAACAACCCAAGGATCTTCTTCTATTTTACTTTTACGCTCACCTTATAGATAATATTACGAATACATGGAAAGGTTATCACGAGATAAGCCAGGAAACACGCACTTGTGGGATATACGGGGGCTTGGTACGATGATCATCATCTTTTACTTTCTAAATGCAAATTTTTTTTCTTACCCAATTTTTTTTCTTCTTTTTTATTTTATTTTTCTTCCCTTTCTTATTATTTTTTTTTTATTTTTTTATTTTTATTTTTATCGACTTTATGACATGCAACGTGCCGAGAACATTATTATTAGGTTTTTGTTTTATCAAAAGAACTTAGTTTATGATTATTAAAATAAGTAAATATATATAATAATATATTATATATATTTATATATATTAAAAATTATTTTTTGATTTAATTTAAATTAACGTACATAATTTTGTGTTGCTTTTATTTTTATTTTCTTTTTCTTCTTTTCAATCGTTTAAAATACCAATCAATATCTCTATATCCTTTATATTAAATACAATAATAATAATAATAATAATAATAATAATATACGGAGAGTTGTGTATACGTTTATAAATTATTTCTTTTTTCTTTTTCAAAATATGAATGAAATTATGTTATACGTATTGTAAATGAAATTAGTGTTAAATAATAATCTCTCAAATAAGATGTCAATTATATCATCGTTGTTTGAATCATAGTTTATTATTTAAAATGTAGTTTCATTAAATAAGCTTTTATTATATTCGCGAATTTTATTTGCGTAAAATTGTAATTACTCTTTTACCGAAAATTTTCCGAGTTTTCGTGCGGTATTTAATAGAAACGGATTAAAGTACGCTTGCGGAACGGCAGTGGTGTGGGGACGGTGGGTAGGGGTGGGATGAAAGAGAAGGAGAATAGGTCGTAGAAGTTTAGACCAGTGATTTTTGGCTTTTCCTATATAACAGGAGAGAATGAGAGAGAGAGAGAGAGAGAGAGAGAGAAAGAGAGAGAAAGAGAGAGTATCCGTGTCATGACTCGTGCTATTTCTCTCGCAAACTCCTACTTGAGTTTGTAATTACTCGTCAGTCGTAATGGGCAAATTGAAGTAAGTGTCGTACGGTTTAACATGAGAGAATGCGAATAATGGGCTAAACTATACGTCCCCCCTTTCCCTATCCCCACCCCCACTTCACCCTCTTTTAAACATTTTTATTCAAAATTTTGTTATTCGAATATTTGAAATTTTGAATTGAGTTTTATAATGCGAGTTCTTTTTGCATACGTAAAATAAAAAAAAATAAAACATTTTTTTTTTTTTTTTTTTTTTTAGAAAAATTCAACAAAACGAAATCATATCGTACAATTCAAAATA